TTAGAATTAGGTTATCACGTTTGATCTTCTAAATCGGCGCTGAAGTATTATCAAGTTCAAAGTTGCAAATTTTCTTTTTTCGGTATTCTCGCTATTTCGGCATTTCCGTTTCAATTCAGTATTCGGACTTTTATTCGGATTTCTGTTGTACACGGTATGCTGTTTACTGAGATCTGAGAGATTGATACTAATCCAACACTCTGTTTGATTCGGACTTCTGGTTAAGTATTCGTAATTAGGGTTGAATCAATATTATGTTTGAAATTCGGGTTTTCTGATGTTCATTCAGCATTCCGTTTTTCGACATTCTGTTGTAAATCCTATATTTCATTTTCTTTTGAGATTTTTGTTGTCGTTCAGTATGGGAATTAGGGTTATGAAAATCTTTTGGCTTTAGATCAACTTGGGGAAACTCTAACGTTTTGGGACCGTAAGTCCGGAAATTTTGCCGAAACGCGGAAATTAGGGTTGGGACCGAAATTTTCGCGAATTTTTTTTTCGTTCTCGTTGTTTGAGAAATTCCGAAAATAGGTTTAGGCTTTTAAAAATCGGATTTTGACGGTGGGAATTTTTGAAAACTCGAGCGTTTTTCTTCTGAAATTTTCCGAAAATTATTTAGCACACTAAGCCGTATCTGACCTTTAATTGCATCTACCGGGCAGTTCACTTATTAAACGGAGAACTCCCGGTCTCATAGTGATCTCAAAGAGACCTAATCATAATAGCTTTTAAATTCGTATTATTAATTGGTTATCTTTATTACAAACATTGTTTACTGATTATCATTCAGATTTATTTCGTTAATTATCATTAATTAATTTTATTGATTGAATCGTTATAAATTCCTTATTACGAATTTGTTTCGAAGGGTTTACGGAAATTTATTTTTTCATGTTTGATTAGGTGTCTACAGTCCATCAGTGGGACAGGGGATTGTATGTATATTGCTTGATTGTTCTACCACTGTTCCCACTCTCCCTACCCCCCGTGTTCTGTGATTTCCGGGACCTCTCAAGCACCGCATCGATTCAGACTGATGTTGACGGAACAGGACACCGGGGCACTGCCACGACGCAGTGCCAGAATCGCAGTTCCTGCCCGCCCTGCAGTACCTCCAAGACCGAAGAAACTCAGCAGCCGGACGACTCCAGCAGCATCAAGTACGACATTGACGGTACAAGACGCCACCGGAGATCATCCCGCATACCCAGTCCGAGGAGCCAATGAGCCAGCGGCTGATTATCGTGGGCGGCTACTGGCATTTACAGAAGCCGTAGCTGCCGTCGAGGCTCGAAAGGAGACAGCAGAGGCAGAACGTCAGCGGCTAGCCAATGAAGCGGCAACCGAAGCTCAGCGAACGACTGAGACTGACGCGGCGACACGAGACAGACGGAATGCCAGCAGCACGGAGTCCTTGATTGCTTGTGAGCATCAGTGGACAACGATACTCCAAGACATGATCTTTGTGCCTACAGAAGCGCAGGCAGACCCGACCCCGGCGGAGGCAGAGAGAAGTATCCCGACTAACTTGCTGCTGGGCATGATGAGAGGTATTATGTGGAATAATACACTGCTGCAGTCAATTGCGCACGGACGCGACGCAACGACAAACATACAAGAATGATATGACTACGTTAACAACTGCTATCCGCACAGAGGCAATGCAGCAGCAGCAACAGCATCAACTGTTGAATTCCACTATCACACGCGTCAACAGCATAGAGGCTAACGCCTCAGCAGCGCCAGGCTGCAC